TGTGGTGTTTGGGGCCCACGTTAACCAACTGTATACAAGACTCCAACCCCTGGGCTCAGCGTTCCAGCCCCCACCCCCACCTCCAGGCACTGAGTCTTCATGGGGACTGCTAGCCCCCGGCCCAAGCATCCTGTGTAACTCCTAGCGGCCCAGGACAGAGATTCTCCCGGCAGGAGAGACAGGGCCTCCTTGTTTTGTCTCTTGTAGCACTTGTAACTCATTCAATAGTCAGTCATAGAATATGTATGGAAGTCTCATGAGCCAGGCATGGCACAGGCAGTGATACGTTTGCTCAATATCTACCTTCCCAACTGGTTCCAAGAGGGCAGATACCTGGACTCTCTCTCGTGTCTCTGTGTCCCTGCATAGTTCCTGACAACTGAAGATGCAGAATAAACTCGTATGGATGAAGGAACAGACAAAGAGACAAAATAGGAACTTCAGAACATCCACCCTGTCAAGCCAGTGATTAAAATGGCCATCTGGCAACTTGCTCCTGACCAGATAAATAACAATGGTAATAGCAAAAGAAAAATGGCCACCACTTATGGGATGTGTAATCTGTGCATGGGACCAGGTAACAAGAGCTTTCCACATATCTTCTTATTTACACTCCCCAGTAGCCCAGCACGATTAGGTCCCTTGTACACAGAGCTAGGACTGGCTGGCTCCTAGGTCCAAGGCCTCACGGATGGCATCTCTCTTTGGCTCAGGGAAGCAGAGGATGCTGGAGCCTTAGAAAAAGATAAGCTTAATGGGGCAGAAGTGGCAGGAGGAGACTGACTGGAGAAGAAAAGAGGGTTCTCCTTTGTTCTTATTCACATCTGTTTCCAGCGAGTCTGTGACCTGCTGGTCGTACACTAGCACTGAGATTCACAGCATGTTCCTTCATTCCTTTAGTCCCTCACTCAGTCCTCACTAGGTAACGGACCCTTTCCAGCAATGACCTCAAGGTACTTTTGGAGGCATTGTGTTATTTAACACTCCCAATAGAGCGCCTAAGTGGCTCAGAGAGGGTGTGAGTCACCCCCCAGGTCCTCCATCCAGCCAGTGACTGAATCGGGACTTGAGTCTGCGTCTCCTCATTCCCAAGTCAGTGCACATTCTTTAGGATGGTCCATCCTGGTGATGGCTCTGCCCTGATGTGGATAAGACAGCACCTGTCTTGTCCCCATCGGAGAACTGTTCTGTTACCAACCTTCCTTCCTCTGGCTCTCCTCAGTTCACACGGCTACCCAACCTGGGTGAAATAAGGCCACGGACTGCAATAATGGGCCAGAAGGGCTTTCCGAGTGATGTACTGAGCGCCTCCCACAGTGCCTGCTGCAGAGGCCTAATAAATGTTTTCTAAAGGAACGGATGAACGGATGAATGAGACAGGAGAGAGACTCACCGAGTCTGCTACCTTGAAATAGCTCGAGAGAGCACGCAGTTACACATCCTCTGAGTGCCTAGCAGGGTCCTTTCTGTGCTGCCTCCTGAACTTCAAAGAGTGACAGCATCTCCATGAGTGCCCTTCCCGTCAACAACCACAGCAAGGCCAGCAGTTCAGATGACAAAAAGGATCCCATGCTGAACTGCCACTGGTTCCGATGCCAGTGGAAAAATGCGTGCCCACAAAACCATCATCGTTTTACCAGACGCTCACTGAGGAAAGCCTATTTGACAAAAACTTGTCTCTTGTTTACGTCAACTCCAAATTCGAGCCTGTAGCTTCTCAGCTAATAAAACCATTTATAAAATACATTGGATCAAATTTTATTTGTTTAATTAATCCTTAGGGAATGACTCACTCCAGATCACCAAGATTCCCACACTGTTACTCTTCCAAGTATCAAAACTTTATCTGGAGAGCCCTGGCCAGCATGGCTCCATTGGCCGAGTGTTGTCCTGTAACCCAAGGGTCGCGGGTTTGATTGCTGGCCAGGCACAGGCCTGGGCTGAGGGTTTGATCCCCGCTCCGAGTACATACGATCCCTGGTCTGGGCATATAAGGGAGGCAACCACCTGATGTTTCTCTCTTGCACTGATGTTTCTCTCCCTTCCTCTCCCTCGAGAAACAATGAAAAAAAGAAAATGTCCTCAGGTGAGGATAAAAAATAATTTAAGAAAAAAAAAACAAACCCTTTACCTGGAGAGAGACTGGTGGTTGCCTAGCACTGGGGAGGGTTGGGAGGGATCAGAAGGAGATGGTTAAACGATGTGGGGTTTCTTTTTGGGGTAATGAAAATGTTCTTACATTGATTGTAGTGATGGATACACAATTCTGTAAATATACTAAAGGCCACAGAATTGTAGACTTTTTTTTTTTTAGTTACTTATTTTTAGAGGGGAAGAGGGGGAGAGAAACATTGAAGTGCTAGAGAAACAGGGATCAGTTGCCTCTTGGACGCCCCCAACTGGGGACCTGGCCCGCAATCAACGCATGTGCTCTGACTGGGAATCTAACCTGAAACCTTTGGTTTGCAGGTCGGTGCTCAATCCACTGAGCCATACTAGCCAGGGTGAATTGTACACTTTAAATGGGTGAATTGAATGGTACGTGAATTACATCTTAAAAAAGTTGGAAAATAAATAAACCTCATTTGAATTATAATGGATAGAAATTCTTCTCCTGTATCACACTAATGCATTAATGTACTACCCACTAACCTTTTTTTTTTTTTTTATTGAATTGGGGTGACGCTGGTTAATACAATTACGTAGGTTTCAAGCACACAACTCTGTAATACATCATCTGTATATTTCACTGTGCATTCCTCACCCAAAGTCAAATCTCCTTCTGTCATGTTTTATCCTCCCTTTACCCTCTTCTACCTCCCTCTATCCTTTTCTTAATGATTTAAGATCACTCTTGTAAGCAGTTTGTTTTTTTTTAATTTGCTACAATACAGCAATGTTCTCAGTATTATAATATACAGGGCTGTTTGCCCAACACTAAACAGCCCCATATTTTTTCTGCTTACTTTATTTTCTTCTAAAATTGCCCTTTAGTTTTAAAGTTTGTTGGTGAAGCTCATGTGCCCGGATCATAAATCGATTACTGAAGGTAGTGTGATCGTTTTTTGGCTGTGAGATCTCTGGAGAATCACTAGACCTCTCTGTGCCTTGGTTTCTCCATATGAAAAGTAACAGAACCAACCTTACTGGAGGTTTGTGAGGATTAAATAAGACAATGTGTATAAAGCATTTAACGCCGTTCTTGGCAGCGGGAGCACAGACGCGATTTTAGCCATCAACACTGTTCCTGACACTGTCAGCGTAGCTGCCTGGGGCAACGCTTCTGAGCTGTGGACCCCAAACCCAAAGACCCGCACAGGGGGTTCAGTACCCCCGGTGGGTTCACTGGGATGAAACGGGGCTGGGGTACAACTTCATGACTGGACTTTGGAACACCCGTGGGATGACTCTGAGCTTTAGTAATATGAGGTAGTTTGTCCTAGTTCACCACCGAACAGAAAAACCTAGAGGCCTGGTTCGTCTCATAATCCTGGTATTTGACAGACTGCTGCCCAAGGGTACACAGTGGCTCTCTCTAGACCAGCGGCTCTTAGCCCTCAGAGGTCACAGACTCACCTGGCAGTCGGAGGAAAGCGATGGACACTTTGCCGAGGGCGGGGGGAAGAGAACATACAAAACTGTACTCATGGTTACAGGGGGCTCCTAAATCCCAGGAGCCAATCAAAAAGCCCTGGTTAAAAACTCCAGATCATCCCGATATGCCAAGGTTGCGGGTTTGATCCCTGGTCAAGGCATCAAAGAATCAACCAGTGAATAATGAATGCATAAATAATGGAACAACAAACTGATGTTTCTCTCTCTCTAAATCAACTTAAAAAACAAAACAAATCCAGCTCTAGACTTCTTAGAGCCCCCGCATTCTCCAGGTTCGGTGGCTCTGGCCCTGGTATCCCACGGCAGCTGGAACAGATGGCCCTTTGCAGGCCTGCCCTCCTACACCGGCCTTGGCCAAACAGGCCTGAGAGCAGACCGCCGCATCCTAGCTACTTCAGACATCTGCATCCGGGGATTCCCAGGGGCACTGAGTCAGAACAGGACACAGGCCTGCTGGTTTGGACGCTACTGTGGGGCACAGCCCAGAAGCCTTGCTGATAGGCAGTCAGGGAGTTCCAACCCCAGAGCAGCTGCCTGCCAGATGAGACTCCGGCTCTGCCAAAAGAGAAGAGGACTCTCGGGAGAGGTTCAGGAGGAAGGCTGGGCCATGAGAGGGAATGCACAGGAGCTGGAAATCCCCCAAGCTCCTGGGACTACCAGGACCTGAACGGAGAAACAAAGGCTGGAGATTCTACCCCAACTGCAAGGAGCTCGCGCTGAAAGGGGGTGGGCACGTTGGGGTGCAGGGGAGGTGGCGGAAGCATGGGTCGGAGACTGCTGAAAACTGTTAACTTAGCCAGAAACACTCAGATGCCATAAAAATACGAACACTGTCCCAAGGTGGCCATACTTCCAGGCCACCCATGTTGTACGAACTGCATTTTGCTTCTAACTGGAGGGCAGCTCTCCTCATCAGCCCACTGGGCAGTGCTTGTTTCTTCGGGCTGGGTTTTGCTTGCTTTTGTTCCTCTATCACAATATTAAAATTATCACAATGTGCCCTAGTCTTTGTGAAAGTAACTTTACAGCAGGCAACCAGTAGACAGGAAAGTTGACATCACACCCACATTTGCTAAAAACTCCCCTGTATGATTCCATCAGCTTAAGCAGATGGCTAAAGAAACTGTGCTCTCTAAAGCCACCAGAGGTAAACTGCCTTCCTGATGTTCTAAAGAAACTGTCTGTAAATGCAATCATGGCTGTGAAATTGCAGTGTGGTATCACGTAACTTCTGAAAAGAGCCATCCAGCCCCTTCTTCATGGAGCCAAAATTCCTCTCTAATTTCATTCAGAACCTTATCTTTTCTTTCCTCAAACAGAAATAAAGGTTTTCAGGCAAATTCACGATGCCAGAGTAGAGCAGTATAAACAATGTGACTACCCACCTGGTTTAGTTTCTTTTTCCTGCTCGCATCTCTTCAGATTTTCCACTGTTCACCAATCAATGTGGAAATTCTAAAGAACCAGTAGAAAAAAAAATTAGAGCCAGTCATACTCTAGCGCTGTGAATTGAAACAATCTTTTTGGAAGACAAGTGAACAATGTCTATGAACATATTAAATGTGCACATCCTTTGGGTCAAACATCCTGGAATTTATACTACAGATAGGGTCACATGAATAAAAGGATGTTCGGTAAAATGTATTGTGTAAAAACAAAAACAAAAAAAAAGAAGCAACTGAAATGTTAGTAGGAAAAGAGTTAAGTTAGGGCGCATCAATACAATGACAGACAATCCAGCCATTACAAAGAATGAGTGAGATTTTGTGGTACTGACAAGGAAAGAGATGTACACGCTGTGTTGTTAAACAGTAGTACAAGGCGGTATATTTTATTTCTTTTTAATAAAAGTATGAACATGTTTGTGCTTAGAAAAAATTACAGCACTGTGTACATACACTTTTTTTGTATCTACACAGGAAAAGGCGAACAGCAAACTATAAGCATGGCTCTTTCTGAGACTCAGAAACTGGGGGAAAAGGAATGAAAGACTTTCACTTTTTACTTTAATTCTTTCCATTTTGGCTGAAAACTTTGAAAGAGGCATACATAACTTTCATAATCATTATACAAGCTGTCTATCTAAAATTATAAAATGGCAAGAGTGAGGGCAAAAGACATTTCCAGACAAAGGCTGAGCAAGTTTATCATTCAGAAACTCAAGAACATTTGCCAACAGAAAGGAAACTGAACACAAATAAGGGAGATTATAGAATCAACAGTGAACAAAAGAATTAGTAAGTGTGTTGGTAAATTTAAAGAAATACTGATTGATTAAAAATAAAACACAGCTAATAAAGAAATAAAAACAAACTTGACAATATCTGACAGGGTTACATATTTTACAGTAATAACATCGAGGATGGAAGAGAGCACAATTAAAACTTTTTAAGGTTCTGTATTCATGACAAATACAGAAATACTGTTTTACTTTTTACACAAAAAAATCAATGATGCATACTGAAATTTTAAAGGTAACATAACAAAATATAAAATCCAAAGTATAAACATAACAAAATATAAAAATAGAATGCATATATTCCAAACCAGCTAGATGCTTTTGGGTAGAAAAGGCTAATTATCCAAAAATGTCAATACTTCCAAGATTACTATATAATTGTAGTTAATTTTCAATAAGAATACTAATATTTTTTTTTGAAGGGGAAAACGGATAAAATCACCGTGAAGTTCATATGGAATAATAAATATCTAAGAAAAATTAGCCAAGAAATTGTAAAGAAAATTATTAAAAAAATAAGTATTTGGGGGATTTGTTTTATGAGAAAAATTTACTATAAAGACATAATAATAAAAAAATAAAGTATTAACATAAAAACAGACAAAAAGGTGTATGAACTAGAATAGCAAGGACAGATACAGACACAATAAAGGGCCTTATTTATGACAAAGATGGGATTTCAATGCAAAATAGGAAAGATGGCTTATTTACCAGATGTTTCTGACATATCTAGAACAAAGCCTGACTAATACTATTCATTATGTATAAACATAACTTCTAAAGGGATTATAGGTTCAAAATTAAAAACCATAATTAGAACATGTAGGAAAACATTTGTATAACTTGAGTTGGAGAAATTATTCTTCAACAAGGTGAGAAATCAAAAGTAGACATTTTATAATGAAAAAAAGTTAAAAATTTTCTGCCCTGGCCCGGTGGCTCAGTTGTTTGGAGCACTGTCCTGATGTTCTGTTTCTCTCTCTCTCTCTCTCTCTCTCTCTCTCTCAAATCAATAAACATATTGTTGGGTGAGGATTTTTACAAAATTAAATTTTTTCTATAAATTTAGTAGAAAAAAATAAACAAATAGTAGATTAGGAATAACATTTGCAATGCCTGTGAAATATATAAACAGCTCCTACAACTTGAGAAAAAGGCAAACAATTCGTAAGAAAAATGTGTGAAGGAAACTTAACAGAAGAGGTTAATGAAATGGCCAATTAACACAAGCAACCTTCAATGTCACTAGTCAGGATTATACAAAGTAAACCACCATCCTCCCGCCCCCATCAGCCTGGTCACAAAATAAAAAGTAAAGATGGAGGGAGGCCCAGAGGGAAGGCTGGGGAGTGGGAAGGAGGAGGGTGAAAGGAAAGAGCGCCCAACACTGGTCAAGCTTTAGGGCAGTGGGAGTGCTCACATATTTCTGGGGAGAATGTAAATGAAGACCTCTTTGTAAAGGAGGATGGTATTATCTATTAAAATGTTAAATACATATACCCTTGGACCCAGAAATATTATTTTCGAAAATGTAGCCTATAAAAATAAAAGCACCAGTAGAGGATATATGGAAAGATAGTTAATGCAACAATATTCCTGGTAGAAAAAAACACAATGGGTAACAACTTGAGTATGTGAAAGGTGAAGTGGCTGAATATATTGTGGTACCTCTAGAGCTACAGCCCTGAAGCTGATTAAAAGACTGAATTAGAGTTACACCTACCTGTAATGTATTAGTTAGTGATAAAAATAAATTTCAAAATAATAAAGTATGATCCCACTCTGACAAAACAAATGACCGCATATACACACAAACTCTACATCCATTTATATAGGAGCCTAGAGAAGGTATGGGCAGAAATACATCAATTGACAACACTGATTGTCTCTGAGGGGTGGAAATGGGGACTAGAGGGAGGAGAGAGATTATAACTTTTTCTTTACAAAGCTTCCAATTGTATAATTACCATATTTTGCTGTGTATAATGCATACGTTTTACCAAAATTTTTGAGGGAAAAATAAGGATGTGCATTATACAGTACTATACATAATACTGATTCTGTATCTATATAAATGTTTTTAATTCTTTTATTTATGCTTATGCTTTAAAAGAGTCTAGAAAGCAATAATGATATACATATGCAAAATAATATCCTAGAACATAATTGGTTTTGTGTCTAAATATAAATAAATAAATAATTGAACTAAAAAATTTAAATGAAAGATTTTTTTTCCCCCAAAAGTTTGGGCCAAAACTGTGGGTGTGGGGTATACATGGGAGCGCATGATACACGGCAAAATAAGGAAGTTAAAATGAGCACATGTATTACTTTAAGGAAAAATAATGAAGAAAATGAAAATAACAAAGAAACATATGAGAGCAGAGGAAGAGCACTGGTCAACTCTGTCGCACGCTGCCCTCTTACCTTCACATGGGACAGTTACCTGCACTTACCGTCACGTTCCTTTTTCGTCAAATTGAAAAAACAACAAAACTCCATTGGTGGGGGAGTGCACTTTATCTCCTACACAGTTACGCCTCTTATTTTAATTTTTGTTTATTGACTTGGGAGAGAGAGAGAGAGGAGAGAGGGAGGAGAAACACTGCTTCACTGTGCCACTTATTTATGCACTTATTGGTTGATTGTTTTATGTGCCCTGACCAGGGTTCGAACCCACAACCTTTGCATATTGGGACAATGCTCTAACCAACTGAACTTTCTGGCCTCGGCTTATGCCTCTTAGTTAAAAAGGGGGGGAAATTAAAGAAAAAGAAAGAGTTTTTTCATTTAAAATCCAAAAGAAAGCCTAATGCTTTGGCTTGAAATTTCCCTGTGTACACGTGGTAGGGACTGGTTTTGTGCTGGCAACCGCTTTCAGTGGCTCTGCGCCCTTGATTGCCTTCCTCCCCCAAACCCAGTGAAATGCTCTCCCGGGAGTGAGTGTGCTGGCTGCTCGGAACCGAAGCCCTGAGAGCCGCAGCATCTCTGCTCACCGGGCTCTCCTGGGCTCCACGCAGGTGCTTTGGCTCCTGTATCCAATGGGTCTTGAAATTGAGAGAAGTGAAGTGGACTGTTTTGCAAACCACTTTAGTATTGTTATTATTTTTAAAAATGTTTCTTGGTTTTAGAGAGATAAGAGGAAAGGAGAGAGAGGGGAAAAAGGGAGAAACAGTGACTGGCTGCCTCTCATATGTGCCTGCCTGAGACTGAATCCGCAACCTTCATGTGTGTCCTGACTAAGAATCAAAGCCCCAACCTTTTGGTGTACAGGACGACACTCAAACCAACTCAGCCACATGAGCCAGGGCTGCAAACCATTTCTGATGGAGGGAGGGAGGGGAGGAAATGGTTTAGCCCAGTGGATAAAAGAAAAGAAAAAAAGAGGAATAGCATTTAAAACAAGCTCTTGAAGGAGAGCTACCTATGCTCAACCTGCCATTTCAGTTCTCACATTCCTTTTTTTTTTTTTTTTTTTTAAGATTTTATTATTTTTAGAGAGAGGAGAAGGGAGGGAGAGAGGGAGAGAAACATCAATGTGCAAGAGAAACATGGATCAGTTGCCTCGCACATGTGCCCAACCAGGGACCTGGCCCACAACCCAGGCATGCGCCCTGGCGGGGAATCGATGGCCTTTCAGTTTGCAGGATGACGCCCAACCCACGGAGCCACACTAGTCAGAGCTGGAAGGTGCGTTCTGTCCCTCCCTGGTAGAATGCTCTGGTTTTAACTTTTGTTATTTTATTTCATTGAAATAATAATGATATCTCACACTTCTTTAGCACTTCATATCTTTACAACAACCCTGGGATCGGATCAGTATCTTTCCTATTTACAGATGAAAATGAGGCCCAGAAAAGTTAAGGATCTTTTTAGGTCTCACAGCAAGCTGGAAACAAAGCTGCAATACAAATTCGGTTCTCCAAACCCCAAGTCCAGTAGGAATGTGGACTTACACATAATGCAAGTCTTGACATTACAGACAGAAAGAGGAACCACGGGCAAGTCAATGGATAATAACAAGCTCTTGGGAGGAAGAGATTCCTCCTGGCCCTCACAGAAAAATTCTACTCTAGGAGTAATATTCTACGCCATGTTAGAAAGAACTCTGGCCCATACACTGGAACACAGCTGGTGAATAAGGGAAGGAAACTCCCCTGCATCGCTAGGCCCCTCCCCTATTCTCCTAAGCCTCTAACCTGAACCCTCGCCCATC